AAAGTATACACGTTTGAATGCTCTTATCAGAATAATATTGATATCATCATAGAGACGTCTTTCTCTTTCAGAAAAATCATCATTTAAGAGCAAAACGAACAAGCATAGGGACAAGAATTGTAGGATATTGAAAGATTCAAAGCGAATAAAATCGAAAAACCAGCTTAAGGGAAATTAAAGAGTAGACTAAATTGAAAATGGCCCGGTGGGCTCGCATTCTCGACCGGCCCAGTGGGCGCACAGTTAGAAATAACAAGGAAATTAAAGATGTTTTGTGTAAACAAAAGAATTTCTTTCTTTAATACAACACCTAATCAATTATCAAGAAAAAACATTAGTAACAACATATTATATTTAAAACAATAAATCAAACTAAAAACACTTTCCTATTCACGCTTCACGCTCGATTATTCTTTAACAGACATCTACGCTTGATTGCAATATTACATTATCATTATTAGTTAGATAGAAATTGGTCGGTTTAAAAGCTTTTCAAATCTTATAACAAAGAAAGTCATTTCCGTCAAAATTAATTGGTGCAAAAAGCATGTACATTTCTTGATTATCAAATGATTTTTCTAACGCCTCTAAGTTTCACATGAGGAAGTACCGTACAATCAGTAAACAAGATTTTTTAATTGGTGACGAAAGCATGTAAATTTCTTGATTGTTATTAGTATTGAAGATTTTTAGAATGCCTATAGCAACTTCAAGGATCATTTCTTCACTTCGACTTTCGAAATCTTCCCGACTTTTCGCATTTACTATTTTATTTTAAAAAAGATGTCGAGAGTTTCGTTAAGGAATTCAATCAAATTCCTAATAATTTGATAAATGGGTGGTTAGAAGAGAAATCATGTATTGTTCATGAATATCAAAAGAATGTTCTAAAACTTAAACATCCCTTGATTAATGATCAAAATATGGAAATGATGTTAAGTCGTGCTGCATTTCATGTTCCTCTAGAATATAGACTTCGTGATAACCTAAATACCATCTTTTCTTATATCAGTAAATAATGAATACGATTTATTCTATTGTAAATATATTGTTAATAAAATTCAATAAATAAACAGAACAACGAATTGTAAAGCATGATATGGAATATTTGTACACGTAGTATGAAAATTAAGAGAATACAATACTATGAAATCTAAATTATCACTAAGACTATATATATTCTGGGAAATTGCATATATAACGAATATTTCATAAAATATAAAGATTTTTTTTTCAAATTCGATTTATGTTTAGCATCTAGAGATGGAACTAGCAATACGAAATTGTATTAATAATTTATGAAGAAAAATTTTTTTTCAAATTGGATATTGTCAAAATACACGAAATATTATACGCAAGTCATAAATCTCAGTTAAATTTAATGTTCTTATTCTTGGTTTACAAATTTTTTAAAAAAAACATTTGTCAAAAAAATTCAAGAATAAATTATTTTAAAATTTTATTTAGTTTACCGAATATTCCATTCAAAATTATTAGAAAAGAAATACAATAAAATAATCTTGATTTAAAAAGAAAATTGCTCATTATCAGAATATTGATGTCAACATTAGAGTACATCTTTCTCATCATCATTTAAGAGCAAAACGACATAAAACGTGAAGCTTACGAAAAAAAGAACAATAGTCATGAGAGTATAAAATCGAAACTAATGTGTAAAGACTTAAGGGAAAATATAAAGAGAGTAAATTGAGATCGGCCCGGTGGGCTCACAATCTCGACCGGCCCGGTGGGCTCACAGTCAGAAGTATAACAAAGGCAATTAAGGACGTTTGGTGAAAAACAGAAGGTACAAATAAAGTTTCTTTCTTTTATACAACACTTAATCATTAGCTTCGGTCGATTTTCGAAAAAATATAGGAATGACCAAAATAGCTTTTCCTCAAAAAAAAAAAAAAAAAAAAAGAAAACCATTAGTAACCATATTATATTCAAAACAATAAATCAAACTATTGTCACTTTCCTATTTACGAAAATAGACACTTCTTTCCCTCGAAAAAAAAGAAAAAAAAACATCAATAACCACATACTGTAATTATATTAATTCAAAATTAAAATTACTTTCCTTTTCATACTTCACGCTCGATTATTCTTTAACAGATATCTACGTTTGATTAAAAATATTACATTATCTTTAGAACTATTTTGAAATTTTATTACCAAGAAAGTCATTACCATTCTCTAAAACAGCTAGAATTTACTCAAAGCATTGCAAGTCGGGTAATAACTGAACTTCACGTTGAAAGAGGGCAGCTTAAAGATCGGATCCGAGTACTTGAACGAGAGAACGAACAACTCAGACAAGATCTTGAATATGAGAGACATCTCAACGAAAGTAGAATAGCCAACATGAATATCCAAATTAACAATTCACAAAATCGAGAAGATATACTCAGGGAAGCACTTAACAACATAGAAGGTAAAAATTAAAATATTAACATGGTAATATCTCTTTATTCTTAGTAAATACTTACTGTTCATAGATGTTCGCACAATTCCACCTTTACGAAGGCAAGGTGCTTTTCTTTTTGAAGACGAAGTACTGGATAGTGATTGAACAAAATAATATATTAATTCTTTTTTTACAAAAATAAAGCAATATTATTTTTTGGCCTCTTTATTAGAATTTTTATTTATCATCATACGAGGAACAAATATCATATTGTATTAGCGAAGAGTCTCTCCGAGTCTACGATTCGCTAATACAACCAACCTAATCATAAAATCATCAATTAGTGAAGAGTCTCTCCGAGTCTTCGATCCACTAATCTAAAATAGGTTAAGTGAATATTTAAAAAGAAAATAAAAATTTAACTTCCCTTGAGTGGTCAAGTCTGTTTACTTAATAATGTATTTCAAAGAATGTTATGTGCTGGTTGGGACCTCGAATTAGTTGTACGGTTTTTTCTTCAATTACTACGATAAAGAATGCAAGTTTAATTTAAGTGCAAAAACGACTTAAAGTACTGCACCTAGTTTATCGTGAAACAAGACTTGTTGTGAAACAAGAGATGCGCCATGCATCAATTAAAAATTGCAGCAAAAATTTTCATAAAGAGAACTAGTTTATTTTAAAATACGCACCAATTAAATTATTGAAGCATATTTACTAAAACAAGAGATACGCCATGCAAAATTTACTAAATTTGTCTTTTTTCTGCACTAATTAAAAGTTTTCATAAGGAAAATCAATTAAAAGTTTTCATAGGGAAAACTTGTGAAACAAGAGATGCGCCATGCATCAATTAAAAATTGCATCAAAAATTTTCATAAAGAGAACTAGTTGTGAAACGCGCTGTAAAACAATAGATAAAAATTTTCATAAGGAGAACTCGTTTATCGTGAGACAAGAGAAACGACATGCAAGCTAAATTTGTCGTGTTCAGGAAGCACGCAGTAAACCAAGAGAAGCGCCATGCAAAATTTACTAAATATGTCTTTTTTTTTAAAGTACTGCACCAATTAAAAGTTTTCATAGGGAAAACTTGTTTTTACAAATCTAGTTGTGAAACGCGCTGTAAAACAATAGACTCGTTTATCGTGAGACAAGAGAAACGACATGGCTAAATTTGTCGTGTTCAGGAGCAAAATTTACTAAATTTGTCTTTTTTTTTTAAAGTACTGTACCAATTAAATAAAAATTGCATTAAACAAGAGAAACGAAAATATGAAAACTATAGTAGTTTTAGAATAAATAATTTATATTAAACTATTGGCTAAGGTCTAACAACTTCAGGTAAATAACCATGTGATTTGGAAACTTAGTTGTTATTACTTCATTTTTAAGTCTTGGAATAATTGATCAATTCCTGCGAGGATTTTGTCACCTCGAATTATGATAATTGCTCACGTAGAATAATAAAATTTATTTTATAGTGATTTAATCGAATTTCTTGAGCATTAAATCAACTTATCTTTAACTATGCTAAAAATAGGCCATTTTCATATTAAATCCAATGGATATCCACGTCAAATCTCTAAGTATAGGCATGTGATGGATATTTTATATAAACAATTGAATAAAAGATCATAATATTTTTAATACATAATAAAAACTCTAAATTTCTTAACGTTTTGCTGCATATTCGACTATTCTTAATTATAATTGCATAAATATTTCTTAATTGCATATTTAGTTCACCTAAGTTGATTTAATGAATTAATTAGTTAAAATGAATTGAGCTTCAGAATTGCTAATATTATTATTACCTTAATTTTACTAATACTTAAGTTTACCAATTTCTTAAATAAATCAGGTTCTACATCTTGAAGGTAATTTATCGTTATATTTAAATCTCTAATATGTTCAAGAAAAGTTTCTAGAGAAATATTTCTTTTTTTTATAGTTTCTTTTACTATAACAACTAAATCATAAATCTTTCTTAAACGAGAAGTTTCAGTTTTTACTCCTTCCATTTGAAAAGACATTCTGATCAAACTATTAATTTTTTTATTTCTATCATCTTCAAAAGTAAAAGATAGACTTCCGACATGATCAGATAATAAATCAAATTGAATAAATGTGCTATAAACAGCTGCCCAATCTAAATTGACTTTTTGTTGTTGCCGGTTTTTTTGTAATTTTTTATTGTATTCAAGCCATTTCTCAGCATTATATGATTCCGATTTTATTGGTATATTCGGCGAAGTAGCTGGAATTAACAGTGGGATTTCATTATTGATCCGCTTTTCATAAAGGAGTAAATTTTTATTTTGTCTTTGTCTTGTGGGTTTGACATTGTTTGTATCGCTTGTCATTTTTTTTGGAAAAGTAAAATCGAGTCCCAATACTAAACGAACTAGATTCTTAAATTCATCAGAATCTATTTCTTGAATGAAATTAATCGTTATATTCAAATTTCTAATAGCCTCAAGGAAATGGTCTAGTTTTGTGACGGTCTTAACAAAAGCAACTAAGTCATAAACCTTTCGCCAACGAGATACTTCGCTTCTTTCTATTCCTTCAATAGGAAAGGAAAATCTGATCAAATCTGTAATTTCTTGATCTTTATCTTCTTCGAAAGCAAAAGATAACCCTCCGACATAATCAGATAGCGAATTAAATTGAATAAAAATACTATAAACAGCAGCCCAATCCGAATCGACCTTTTGTTGTTGCCGAGTTTTATGTAATTTTACATTGAAATCATTCCATACAACAGAACTATATGAAATCGATCTTATTGGTATAACTGGTGAAGCAGTTGGAGGTAAGAGTGGTATTTTATTATTGATTCGCTCTTCATAAAGGAGTGAATTTTTGTTTTGTAACATTTTTTTTTTCTGGAAAGCGAGTTAGAATTTTGTGATACAATTTAATACTTGTATATATAGCTTCGATGCATATTGATGATCATATGCAATAATCTCAATTTTGCATTAATTCAAAAAATTGCAGGCCAGAAAAATAATTTAACCTTCCAACTATCAGATTTTGTCTAGCCATGCTAGTAGTACAATTTATAAATACTATTGGTTTGCTGAAAATTACGTAATTTTACGTAAGTTTGTTAAGATTCTGAAATCAAAATTAAATGTAATTTTGATCATGTAAATAATTTGGGCCAAAATTTTTGTAAAGCTGGAATAAAATTAAATATAAAATAATGATAGGATCCATTAATGGTGGTAAAACTTTTGTAATGCTAGTGCTATTATGTTAGCTAACCCTCCTAATTTAAAAATCACGTCAGTTTTCCAGAAAATTTGGCAAAAATTTTGCTTGTTGAAATTTGATGAATTCAGCTCAGACCAAGTAACATGCCTGGCGAGTGAATTATTGTATGTTTGATATTTATTGTTTAAATAAAAATTTATTTGGCCAAGATTATCAAATATTGATAAAAAATAAAATGCAGCTATTGTTCAATATAAAATTCAGATTTTAAAACTGTTCATTTTTTTGCCAATATGAACAAATCAATCCAATTCGAATAAATTGAAAATATTTAACTTTTAATACGGCACAAACCCATCATAATCTAGATGCCCGAATCCATGACTTCTAGCCATTATTTCAGCAAAAAAATCTCTTATTTGATCTATAAACATATCTAAAGGTTTAGGTTGGACAATCCCAAAAGTTCCATGCACAACTGGCTCGAAAGGCTCAGTATATAAATATGAATGTCACGATTTGATCCTATAAAAAATTGATAAAATCAGTTTGAGCTTCTATGCATCAATTGGAGAAAGAAAAATATACTTAACAGCCAAATTACAATAATTATAATTAATTCAATAATTAATATAAAAATCAAACACAATTCCAAAAACGTTTTTTTCACATCTCTAAAATGTAATTTTTCCTGACGAATTTTTTCCATAGTCATTTTAAAATTCGTTTAAATTTTTGTAGTCCAAAATCTTACTTTAATGTGTGTATATGTATATTCAAACAAAATCATTTTGCATACAATTGCGTAACAGATCAGCGTTATGGTTTATATTGCTATCATAAAATATACTGTATATAACTCAGAGTTTCATTTTGAAATTTTTGTAAAGATAAGGTAATATAAATAACCGCGGCAAAGATAGTATAAATTAAAACAAATATAAATTAATTATCTCCTTATTTGAATAAGTTATATAATTAAAAGCTGTTTTGTAGAAATATAGGATTATGTAATATGAATAACTGAGACAAAGATGGCATAAATATAAAAATTTTTAAAATGAATAACAGAACATATTTAATTATAATAATGTTCATTTTAACCATGGCTAAATATAACATAAATTAAGTCAAATAATTATCTCCTTATTTGAATACGATAAAATTAATCAAATGACCTTTCTTCACGTATAATTATGTAACAGATCAGCATTTCATACATAATTCGGAGTTTCATTTTGAAGCTTTGTAAAAATAAGGCTAATGAATAACCACAGCAAAGATAATATAAATTTTCTCCTTATTTGAACAACTCGTTTATGAGAAAATCAACATGAAAAAGCCTTTTGCAATAGCACGTATAACTGTAACAGATCAGCATTATATACTGTACATTATACACAACATGGAGTTTCTTTTTAATGTTTTGTAAAATAGGTGATACAAATAGCTGCGGCGAAGAGCATTAATTAAAACAAAATTGAATTAATCATTTCCTTATTTGAATAGGTTCAATTACGAAAAATGCTATTAAAAGTGTAAAATCTAGCTTTCAAAATTACTGAAAAATTACAGAAATGTTATTTAAAAACAGTTTAAAGTTCTCTACTATTTTTTTTTATTTTATTTTTTTATTGCTGAAAATTACTTGCACAATTTTCTTGATTTTAATTTTTTTGACTTTTTTTGATTTTCGCACCATTGAATATTATCTGGATTCTACCTTTCTTCTTTTTTTCTGGTCTCGTTGTCTGGTTTTCCATATTATTTACAAGAACTATCTACAAATCTGAATCCATTTGCTTAAATAAAGATCGACCTACAAATGAAGATTTCCCTATGAAAAGTAGACTTTCATCTAAACAAAAACCAATGCAGCCAATTTTTGTTAAAAATATCTTTAAACTTTGTTTATTAGCATTATCTAGAAGCCAAGACTTTTTTAATTATGAATTTTTGCCTCTTTCTTACATCAATACTGCAATTTCCTTTTTTTTATTTAAAATAAACATAAAACAATTTTTAATATAAAAATCGAGAAAAAATTCTTTTATTTCGCAATGTTTTTATTGCTCTTATTTTATATCATATTCTTTTCATGTTCTGATATTGCATTCAGGAAATTTTTTAGAAGATCAAGATTCCATTTCATTGCATCAACAATCAAAAAGATTCTATTATTGTATTTAATGTTCAAATTTAATCCTGCAGAATATAAAAAATTAGAC